CACCACTGCCCCCTGCAGTGACTTCTGCTTCTCTGGGTCCCTCTGCTTTGAATTTTGAATTTTTAAGATAAATAGGATGGACCTTTTGTATTGCTAAACAAACATGCAGCCTCTTGTTTCTTTTTGGAGCTCTGGTTTTGCTTTAGGTGGCAATGTATCTAGTTAAAAATTCTCACCTCCCCAGACTCCTTTGTCACTAGAAGTGACCCAGTATTGGCTAATGAGATATATATATATAAAAATAAAAGTCTCCGAGGAGTGAGAAAGCTCTTGGTTCCTTGATCAGCAGAGTCCGAGCAGGCTGGCACGCATCCTTGCCATTGCCCTTTCCTCTTTTTTCCTGCCCTGAGAGCTGTAGCCAGCTTACACCATGAAAACAAGGAAAAGTCGCATGCTAAGAGTAGCAAATCGGAAAGATGGAAGGAGCAGTTGATGGGTTCGTGGAGTTACTCTACCAGCCTTGGACTCTCCATCTTTAGACTAATTGTTCCAAAATAAAGCGCTGCTTGATTAAACCATTGTAGTTGAGTTTCTATACATGCAGCTGAATGTAATCCTAATTTATACAAGGGTAATGTAGTAAGCAGTAATCGAACTTATTTTAACTAGGGAGACTTGTTTTGTTTTTGAAACTGTGTTGAAGACCCTTTGGGAAATGCTGCCTTAAAGAATATGAATAGAAAGATAGCCATATATATATATATCCAACCCTTTTTTCTGCAAATGTGAATTTTCTTATTTTCTTTGTGGGATTAGGGCTTAGAATTTTGGTCTTTTTTTTTTTTTTTTTTTTCTAACCTCTTCCCCTCATACTGAGAAGTTTTAGGTTATTTTTAAAAAACTTTATAATTTTTTATGCCTCTTACCGAAGTGCTTTATATAAGCCAGATTTTTTAAAAATTGAGTTGATTTTATTAGCCTATTTATGCCTTCTTTTCATGGTAGAATTCTCAAAATTTGTAGGTGAATTGACTCAGATGTGCATTTATTTCCATCATAATACCACACTTGTTTAGTTTCTTTGAATGATTTTTTTTCTTGACTAGCAATTAGCACTTTTTCTGTCTTTAGAAAGTTAATGTTGTATAAACCAACACCTAAATGGTATAGGGAAGTTCTTCATGTGAATGATTTTTGTACAGTTGGAAATCTTTTGTAATTTGATTGAATCTCTCATGATTACTCTCCTTCTGTAAGTTGGATTTTTTTAGTTTTTTTTTTTTTTCTAATAGTGGTAGGCTCAATTCTCTGATAAAAGAATTTTCAGATCTTATTTTTTTGAAAAGATGTTTAAATTATATTTCAACTCTCTAGTAGAATATAAAATCAGAATGTTAAAGTTGGTGGGGACTTTAGCAAATAAGTCTAACTTTCTGATTCTACAGCTGAAGAGACTGAGAACTTACCTAAGGCTTCAGTTTTGAGCCAAGTGATGGAAGAACCGGCTCCATCTGCTGAGTCCAGCTCACTCTGGTGATGGCGAGACTATAACACTATAGGATATTATGTAATTCGTTTCACTGACCTGGCCTCAGCTTGTCCGTCAGTAAAATTGGAGTAACTTCTTGTTTGCCCAGCTCATAGTAAAATCTTAAAGCTTTTTTGAGTTGCTTGGAATATGGTACACTACTTTTTCTAGTGTACCATATTTGTTGAAAAATTAGGATATTTAGCTTCAGAAAAGTTTATGTCTCTAAAATTCAGGTTTACTGCAGGACATAAAATTCAGTGTTTTCATGTGTATAGTTTGATGAGTTTTGACAAGTGTATGTGATTTGCGAAACCACCAGCACAAATAAAACAGAATATTTCCACTCTGCTAAAAAGTAAGAGATTATTTTCTTTACTAACATGAAATAATACTTTTATTTGGTGGTACGATTCCAGTACTTGCATGCAGATTACCCATAGCAATACCTTTTAAGTACAAGATAGTTTTTAACCTTTTCTGTCTCATTTCCAGTCTGTGTTTGTTCAGGGAAGGCCAACTAATTTTTTTAAATCGTGGTATAATTGTCATATAATATAGTAGTTTCAGGTGTACAGCATAATGATTTGATATTTGTATATATTGTGAAATGATCCACACCATAAGTCTAGTTAACATTTGTCACCACACATAGTTACAACATGGTTTTTTGTTGGTTTTGTTTTGTTTTTTTGTAATGAGGACTTTTAGGACGTACTCACCATTTCTCATACTGCCTCTCCGCCCCCTGCCCACCACCTCCCACCTCTGGCAACCACCAATCTGTTCTCTGTGAGCTTGTTGTTTTTTAAATTCCACATATAGGCAACATCATCTGGTTTTGTCTTTCTTTATCTGACTTAGTTCACTTAGCATAATACCCTCAAGGTCCATCCATGTTGCACCTGGCAAGATTTTATTCCTTTTTTTATGGCTGAATAGTAGTACGTTGTGTGTGTTTATGTGTGTATGTGTATATGTCCGTTGATGGATACAGTTTGTTTCCATATCTTGGCTATTATAAATAATGCTGCAGTGAACATGGGGGTAGATATACCTTTTTGAATAAGTGTTTTCATTTTCTTGGGATAATTACCTAGAAGTGGAATTACTGAATTATATGGTAGCTCTTTTTAACTTTTTTTTTTTTGAGGAATCTCCATACTGTTTTCCATAGTGGCTGTACCTGTTCATATTCCTGTTTATATTCCCACCAACAGTGCATGAGGGTTCCCTTTCCCCTGACATCCTTGCCAACACTTTTAATTTCTTGTCTTTTTGATAATAGCTGTTCTAACAGGTGTGAAGTGATATCTCGTTGTAGTTTTGATTTACATTTCACTGATGATTATTGATGCTGAGCATGTTTTCATGTGCCTGTTGGCCATTCCTGTGTTTTCTTTGGAAAAAATGTTTATTCAGATTTTCTGCCTATTTTTTTAATCCAGTTGTTATTTTGTGTGTGTGCGTGTGTGTGTATGTTTGAATTAGATGAGTTATTTTGGATATTAATCTTTTATCAGATATATGATTTGCAAATATCTTTTCCCAATTAATAGGCTGCCTTCTTGTTTTGTTGATGGTTTTCTTTGCTGTGCAGAGGCTTTTTAGTTTGATGTACAGCAGGTTCTGGAATAAGGTGGTTTTGGTTAAGGTTCTTTTGTTTAACGTTGATGAAATGCCATAGGAACTTAACTCTTGTTTATATCAACTAATCTATGTTAAAATTGGTTTCATTAAATGTCATTTTGCTTTAAGTCACAGAACCCATGGACGGCGTTAAGTAAGGACTTACTGTAGTTCCATTTTTTATTTTTGTTTTTGTTTCTCATACCTTAAGAGTCAGATCCAAAAAAATGTCATCACTAAGATCGACGTCAAAGAGCTTAGGCCTTCCTTTTTCTTGTTACCGTATATGATTTCATGACACAAAACTTTACAACAAAGAATTTTTAAAAACTTTGCAACAGTGTTGTTCCACAATCTTGTAATTAGGACTCATGATTTAATTCGTCTGCATGGTCCTTCATAAGCCCATCTTGAAATCAAAGGCCTGGTGTAGCCAGTAATGGTGCAGCTCTTGCAGTACCAGAAGCTGGGGGGAAAAAGTAGTAATAATAACTCATTTCCTGTAATAAGAATATTTTTTGTTTATTTAGATTAAAAAAAACAATATTTTGTGACTTTAAAACATTCACAAATTGTTTTCATGAAAGCTATTAAAATTTTGATTCTCTACTTTTTGCTAAAACTAAAAAAATTAAAAAGAAGAAAAAGACTAAAATATCTTTAAAATGATATTAAGTAGCCTCTTTATTGGGAGCATGAAATGTCCTTTAATAGTATTTAAATAGAAGAAAAAGTGATGGGTAAGAATTCAAAAGACTACTTATTTTTATTATATGCAATTTAAAACATATTACATACTTTACTGTGGGTTTTGGGAAGACAAAGTGCTTATTAAATTTAAATCATGGGCAAGTTGAAGCCTAGATAAATGAAATAAATGATATAATTTCTTACATTGTTATTTTTTTCTTGGATAGTTATCGTTAAGGCCATATCAGAATACGCAGCATCAAAATATTTAAGCCATTTATATCCCATTTGAAATGGACCAGGTCAGGTCATGTAGGATATTGAATTTGAGGGAGTGTCATCTCGAAGTGAGGAAAGTAAGCTAAGTGGGGAGACAAGAGGATGAGGATGGAGGTGGGAATGACAACATGTTTGGAGCGGAAAACTCTAGTGAAGTGGACTGTTTTAGAATAAACTTTTATCATTAGTAAATAGCAATATTGGGTTTTCTTAATCTTCTTTCTCAAGCTGCTTGAATAAGAGTCCATGCTTTTCATTTTCATTACATTTTTTAGTTTAATATTCCATTGATATATCTAATATTTATTATTATGTGTTCATTTATTCAAAGACCATTTCCTGAGCACCTTATATGTACAAGATGCCATACCAAGAGTTTTTGAAAATAAAAAAGATGGATAAGACAATAATTGAACTTTAAGAAACTTCTAGGTGAACACACAATGCAACATACAGATGATGTACCTATATAAGTTTATTAACCAATGTTACCCCAATAAATTTAATTTTTTAAAAAGAATCTTCTAGTATAATTGGAAGGTAAAAAAATGAACACAAAAGACTCTGGTGAAATAGAGTTGGAAAGGTAGCTTGGATCCAAATACCAGATTGAGGGGTATGCGTTTCTGTAGGCAGTCAGCATTCTCAGGTGCTTGGTGAGGGAATTCAGCAGATGTAGATGATGCTGAGCTCCTTAAAGAGAGAGGATTCTGGCCTTAGAGTCAGGTGTATCCTGTGACCAGCTGGGCTCCTGACAATTGCTTAAGGAGCTCAAGTTGGATTATGGCCATAGAGTTAGGGAGCAGATGGGTAAATAAGAGGTTTTGGAGAATCATCAGAACTTCATTAAGTGGTTGGGAGTTGGGGATGGGAAGTGTTTCGAGTGTTACTAAGGTTTAAAAAACTTTGATTTAAATTCATTTTTTTTTTATAGGTACTACATTCACATGGATCAGAATCCGAAAGGGTATGGCACAAACTGTTTTCCCCATACTTTTGTCACATTGTCTCACTCTCCAAAGATGGTCACCAATGCTGTCAATTTCTTATGTATGATTCTAGTGATATTTAATGCTTGTATAAGCAGATACGTGAGTGTGGGTACTTTTCCCTCATGTTTTTATTCTACCCAATAGCATTCTTCTTTTCATTTAACAGTATTTTTTAGGATAATTCCAGGGCAGTAGATAAAAGGCCCCCTCATTCTTTTGTTATGGCTATGTAGTAGTACATCGTCTGGATCTAATGTAATTTGTTTATCATTCTTTTGCTATTACAAAGAATACATACCTTGTGATATTTGTACATACATCGTCATGCATGTGTAACTTTCTGTGGAGTCAATGTTAAGAATGGAAGAATCCAAGTCATCGAGTATGTGCATTTTTTAATTCTGATATATTGTCTAATTGCCCCTCATACAGATTGTGTTCTTCCATCAGCAAAATATGAGAGTGTATATGGTATATTGTCTGTCAAGCTTTTGGATTTTTGACAATCTGAGATTTGAAAATAATTTCTCAGTTTAGTTTTAATCTGTGTTTATCTTACCGTGAATGAAGTTGAACATTTTTTCATCATAGAAGAGCCATTGGTATTTCTTTATGTGTGAGCTATCTTTGTATCACTTGACCATTTGCCATAAGGTTATTGGTTTTTTTCTTAGTAGGAACTCTATGTACATTAAGGTAATTAGTCCTGTGTCTGTGATAGGAGTTGCAAACATTTTTCACATTTTGTGGTTTGTTTTTGACTTTGCTTTTGGTGGTTTTTTATCATGTAGAAATTCTAACTTCTGTGTAATTGTGTTTGTCGACTCTTCATGCTATGGAAAAACCCTCTCTACTTCAGGTTTATTAGAATAAACTAAGTGAGATATCTTTAGTATTTTCTCTTTTTTTTAATGTTTAAAATTTTGATTTACTTAGAATTTATCCTGATGTTTCACCTGATATATATGGTGTAATAGACAGGGATCTGGTTTCATGGTTGTCTATACATCGCTTATTGAACGAACCATGTTTTCCTTGTTAATTTGAAATGCCACTTCTATGATGTTGTAAATTCTCACATGTATTTGGATTTATTTCTGGATTTTCTTATCTTCACTGATCTGACTCACTGCTCATGTGCCAATTATTCACTTTTAATTACTGTAGCTTTATAATATATTTGTTTAAATATTTGATAGGGCTATTCTCTCTTCATTACTTTTATTATCAGAATATTTTTGGCTATTCTTTCCTTTTGACTTGCCCATAAGAATTTTAGAATGTGCTCATTCAATGCCAAAACCCCCCAAGAGATTTCGAAGTACTTTTATTGAAATTATATTCGGTTTATAAATTAACTTAAGGATAATCAACGTCCTAATGATGTGAAACTTATCCCTAAGACATAATATGTCTTTTTTTTATTTGTCTTTTTTAGTGATCCTTGGAGCATTTTCTTCATGTAATGTTGCGCATTTCCTGTTAATTTTATTGCTGGATATTTTACTTTTTATTTTGTAGCCATCATGAATGAAGTCTTTTCTTCTATTAGATTTTATAATTGGTTATTTTTTGTCTCAATTAAAGCTATTTATTTTCCGTTAATTTTGTATCAGTAAACTTCTTTTCTTGAGTTATTACATTGACTGGAATCTTCAAATCCATGTTTAAAAATACTGTGATAGATTTCATTCTTATTTTTTTGATTCCTGCCTAGAATTACTCTGTTAAGCATGGTGCTTTCATGTTGAGATGTGTTATTATGTTAGAAAAGTATTTAACTTCGTCTCTATCTTTTTTTTCTTCTAAGAATGGATATTGAGTAATATCAGATGCTTTTCACTATATGGCAATGATGTATGATCTATCATTTAAAATATATATTTTTTTAATCCTAGCTGGACGTGAAGGAGGGAAATAAAGTCATTCACGGTTGGATGTCTCTGTGATGCTGTTGTAGAACTCATCTCTTTTATCAAATGCTACCAGTATTTAATAAACACTGATCTGATAATAGATTGATTTTGGATAGTGGTTTATATTTCCATCTTCTTCTGTCAACACCTTTTGGTAGCTTCAAGTTAAACTTCTAGTCTAGATGAAGTTAAGTGGGTGGAAGTGTGCATTCTGGGCATTCTTCTGTACTGTCTTTGACATAGATGCTAGGGCTTGTGTCATCTGAATCAAAGTAGAATATTAAAGGGTGGGGTGGGAAGGGGTAGTTCATACAATAATTATTGCCTGGGCGCATGCAGATAAACTTTGAAAAGTCACCTTGATGTATGAGTCATTTCTGAGACTCTCAGTGTTTTTTTTTGTTTGTTTGTTTTTTGTTTTGTTTTTTTTCTTCCCAGGCAGATTAAGATAGATGCCAAATGGACAGGATGCTTTGGTTATGTGTTGCCTCTTTTAAAAAAATCAATACCTCTGAATTAAAGTTTCGTAAGGACCTAAGTGCTCATTTTCTGTAGAGTTTTAAATAACATCTGCAAGTCTCAGTTATTTTTCTTAACACTGTTTGTGCTTGAGGAATAGAAGGTGATTGTCGTAAATATAACTAACCTGATCTCTTGGGAATTTAATGACTGTTTTTACTAATTGTGACTCATGTTTAATTTACTCTCCATGAGTGTTCCTCTTTTTGTCTATGCAACCTCTGTTTTAACTTCTTATTCCTTACCTGTATGGTATCCTCCCTATTCTTGATTACAAGGATTAGGGGTTGGGGTGGATAAGAGAAACTCAAGGCATGAACATATATAGGTGTGAGAATTTGCAGGCTGCTAATCTCTTTGGTTTGAGTAGAAGTCTTCAATCATTCATTCACTCAGCCTTTTTACCCATGGTTTAGATAAGGTGTTTCTGGTTAATTACTTCATACCAGATTTTCAAAAGAGCTAAATTAGAAGAGGCTGGAGGTAAAGGACAGAGGCCTGTGCATCGATTATAACGTGAATGCTAACTGCAGCTTAATGGATAGCTCTGAAATTGTAAGAGGTAAAAACAGGCCTAAGGGGAAGCCGTCTGCCCTTTTAAACAGGCTGTGAGGGTTATATTAATAGTACAATATTAAAGTAGGTGAGATGACCCTGGGCATCCCAGAAAAGCAAATTTGACATAGTTTGTACTGTTTATGAAGGCAGAGGGGTATGCAGTATGTTTTAGACTCAGTTATTGGGAAAATTTACCAAGTAAAGATTGAAGAATGCAGATGTCTGTTAATAAGGTTAAAATATATGTTCTAATGGAAGCAGTTAAATAGTTGGCTGTTTTTCTTTAGATGTTAATTTTATAAGATTATGTGTTGAAAGTATCTTCTAAATATTCTGGAATCTTTGTTACCTGTAATAGTGGCATTTAGTTCTGTTGGTAATTGAGAAAGTTTCAGATTCAACTTTTGTAGTGAGTATGATTTTAATCTACTTTAGATTCTAAATGTCAGTGACTCAGGAAGGGGCTAGAGTTTGCAGCTCTTATTTCACCTTTACTTTTGTATATGGTTGAGGAAGTTCCACCTGTATTATTACGTCTTCGGCTGCATATGTTCTGTATCATTCAGAGATCAGATTAATCACCTCTGCAGGAGCATAACATTTCAAGCACTGTATAGCATTGTGTATCTACTCTGCTCTTCAGACAAATTCATGAATCTCTACAGTAATCTCTGCCATTTTTACTTCTCTTATATTACATTAAGTTCTTGAATGTGTGGGCTTTCTAAATATGTTTATGGCATATGTGCTTGAAATTTTCATGACTTTCTATTTCTGTAATCTGGAATTTGTAGTAACTTCATGAGGAAGCTAACTGAAGTTTTATTTCAGGGTTTCTGAACTGTAGCAATATTGGCATTTTGGGCTGGATAATTCTTTGTTTGGCGGGGGTGGGGGAGGTTGTCCTGTGTGTTGTAGGATGTTTAGAAGCACCCCAGCCTCTACCCACTAGATGCCAGTAGTATCTCCCCTAGTTATGACAACCAAAAATAGTTTTGGACATTGCAGATATCCTCTAGGAGGCAAAATTATCCCTGGCTGAAGCCACTAGTTTATGCTATGCATTTTGAGGGTAAATACGTAGTCTGTGTTATTATAAGAAAATGAGCAAACAATCGTTGAGCACTAACTATAAAACAGTTCTGGGCATACAGAGGAAGCATTCCTGTCCTTAAAGAAAACATGAACAAGTGAATATAACACTATGTGATAAAGGCTCTAATAGTTACAAAGATGAGGGAGTGGCTACCTCTGCCAGAAAGAGGTCAGCAAAAAGAGGAAGGGAGATGTTTGACTTGGGCCTTGAAGGATGAGTAGGAGTTCACCAGAGTGAGTTTGCAATAGTTTTCACAATAGAGAGGTCATCATGAATAAAGGCTAAAGGACTTTACATTTCGATCTGCCTTGGGCTACATTTTTTGTCCTAGCACAGTTACTAACAGCATTCCTTTTCCTCTCAAAAATGCCCTAATTTGGACAATAAATTACATGGTCACTCTGGTAAGAGCTTGGCGACTCGAAAGTGGGCAAATGACATACCTGAAGTGTAGTGAGCCCTCTTAGACTGTAGTTTGAGGGTGGAAAGAGATGTGGAGGCTGCCTGGAGATGAGGATGGGACCAGTTGTGGAGGGTCTTGTGTGTCATGTTAAGAAGACTGGAATTGTTCTGGACATTCTAGAAGTCACCTCAAAGCTTCCAGGTAAGGGAGTGTGTTAGGAAGACGGTCACAGGGAACACATAAACTTTTGGGGCCCTTGAAAACTTTCAGTTTAATTCATAGGGTGTGTGCTTCTCCCAGACACTTGTCTTAGAGAAAATAGTTCCCGGAGAAGTTATGCTTGGCGGGGTTTTGTTTGTTCACAGCCAGGCACTGTTTACAATGGTATGATTTTCAACTGTGTTTCTTTGAGAAATGGATACAGGAGACTTTTAGGGGATTCATTTTGATTTTCTTCCAGATTTATGGATTAAAGAAGTTTTG